TTGGTGCTCGGCAAGTGTGGTCGGGTGCTAGTCATGGCCCTTCAGTTTGGGTCGTGACAGTTAAGACTATATGTTATATAAGTTAAGGAAGCTTCCGGACCATCTTTTCCAACCAGATAACGAGCGATCACTCAACAATGAACACAACTATCCTCATCAAACCGAATATCTACCCTTCCTGCATTTGAAGACAGAAGGAAACCCCAACGACCAAGCACTCTCGCCCCCAAAAGCGGTTTGTTGCCCCTCGGTAGAGTGAGTCTACTATAAAAACAAATGTAAACAAGATTGAGACATTCATGGCCTACTTCCAAGTGTAGAGTGAACATATTATAGACCATATTTGGTAACATATTAATTTAATTTTAAATTTTACTCTGAAAGCGCGACAAATAAAACAGAGAAAATTAGAAACCCTCGAGAAGTGAAACGAAGCGACATAAAAACCTAAATACAGTGTCTTTCCAACTACTTCCCAAATTGAGCTAAAATCCACCGCTGCAAAATCTCTGCAACCTTTTGAAATTCCAGAACATTCTTAGAAATGGATTCAGAAACTTCGAACAAAATCGAAGAAACAGTACTGGAAATCCTGAAATCCTGTAACCTGGACGAAGTTACGGAGCTCAAAATCCGAAAAATGGCCTCCGAAAAACTAGGGCTTGAACTATCCGACCCGATCCGAAAGGCATTTGTACGGCAAGTCGTGGAGAAGTTCCTCGCCGAAGAACAAGCTAAAGCGGAGGCAAATGAGGAAGAAGAAGAAGAGGAGGAGGAGGAAGAGGACGATAAAAAGAAAAGCAGTGGCGCCGGTGATAAAGAGTACGATGACGACGGCGATCTCATCGTTTGCCGAGTAAGTTCTCTCAACTGCTGTAATTATGTAATTTTTTGTTATGTGTTTTGAAATCCTCTCTCTGTAGCAAAAAGAATGAAATTTTTCCTGCTTTTCCAACTTATATGGCATAGCTTGAATTTTAAGGAAAAAAAATAGAACTTTTGAAGCTTGTGGTATTAGAAGAATGATGCACTTTTCTTTTTAGTCTGTTTTAGTAATGATTAAACTTTGAGATATAGCCAAACAAATATCTATAGTTTGTTTTAGGTCATACATTCACAAATTTTTTTCCTTAAAATATGTGTCTATTCAAAGTGCATTACATAAAATGGGACGGCGGGAATACAACATTTTTGTGTGGGCTATAAAAACTTCCCATTAATAGTAAAATGGGAAGTGTAAAGTTAATTATTTTTGTTAGATAGTTATGTGTAAGTATGCCTGGTCACATATGTAGTAGGAGTATAATATGTCCTAGTCCCATATGTAGTAGGAGTAGAATATGTCATAGTCTCATATGTAGTAGGAGTAGAGTATGTATTATATATAAGACTTATTGTATCATTGTTAATAATAGATTTTTCTCCCATGCATTCTCACAATTTTCAAATGTAGAAATGTGTTTTTCTTTCTTTTGGAATGACTAATAAGGAATAATGTCATATAAGTTGTAACATAGGTAGTACTATTTTTGGAATTAAACAGTTTTTTCTTTGATTATAATTTTTAAAATGTTATAGTAGTTTAACTATAGGCTTAAGGGAATTGTGATATGTAGTTTCTGGTATCTAACTTTAATTAAGCACTTGAAAAATCTTTGTTTGCATTCATACTGAAATTTAGATGTTGATACTAGTACTTGGAACTCAGTCATTACAGTACTAGTTATTAGGTCTTAAAAATCATTTGTGATGTGAAATGTTCCTTGTTTCATGTTGTTTTATTGTTGCTGAGTTGATGTTCCTGATGTTTCTTTTTTGGACATTCCATGTAGTTGTCACATAAGAGAAGAGTGACAATTACTGAGTTTAGGGGAAAAACTCTGGTGTCGATAAGAGAGTACTACAACAAAGATGGCAAGGAGTTACCTACTTCTAAAGGTAATACTATCTTTATTAGATTGTTTATTACATGTATGCATTGTTTATACACATGTTTGCATGTTTTCTCATTTGAAATAAGCTTAGGTGATTGCTATAACTAGAAATGAAGTCTCTGTCCAAATTTTTTTTCAATTCTTGTTTGCATGGAGGAATTAAATCGCACTATGCTCATAGTTTGAATTGCTACGAGGAGAAAAAGTATATTTCCTTTCTTTGCTTAAAATCTGTAGTTATTTGTTATCCATCTTAAGGCTGCTCCGTATTTTATGTCCTAGGTTTTGTGGAGTAGGAAAAACTTGACGGAAGAGTTTTATCTCTTGCTGCCTTCTTGCTTCCTTTCTTATTGCCTGATTTTTTTCAAGTCTATCTCTTAGAGGAATTATTAGCTTATTGTACCACCATAATCTGTGTGCACTCTTACGCCCTTACCCCGACAAAATATCTAATTAGCTTATACATGATTTTATTAGCTGTCTACTGCGATCACTTAAAGAGGTCGAGAGAACATAAAAATTAAGTAAAGCATTTAGGTTCTTATAATATAAGCTCTTCTTGCCCTATTGCTTTGTGGTCAATAAACAATTTGAAGGTTTCTGTATAAGCACTTCGGTTGCCCTATTGCTTGGGTAAGCAATAAAGAATTTAATTTTTTGAATGAGCATTTCTTGCCTTATTGCTGATTTTAAACCTCCACCAGAGAGTATTGTACGAGGAGTGTCACGAAAGCTATCTACACTCTGATCTTTGAGCTGTTTATTTCCAAGTCAATGGCTGTACTTTCTAGTGTTTTCCAGGCTTTTCAGTGGTTTCCAAAGTTACCTTGTTAATATTTGATTTTCGTTGGTTTCCCATCTACTAGATATTATTTGTAATTTTATCTGTCTTTGTCCATCTTAAAACAAGTGCGCCACCTTCTGCAGTGGAGGTTTTTGGCACCCCTGCATACCTCTATCCATATGTTATTCAACCCCGCTTTTTACGTCATCCGGAATTTATAGTGGTCCCACCAACATAGCATGAATATGTCGAAGTGTATCATGTTGCAAATGAGCACGATAAGAAGATCAGATGTTTGAGAGCAAGAAAAGAAGGCTCCTAACATTTCTCCTTTATTTTTTCTTGATTCATTTGCTTTATAGAGAACCTCAGCTTATGAGTTCTTAGACCGGCTTATGTTTAGAGCATTCAATAAGTGGTTCTGACACCCCCTCCCCCAACAAAAGAAAAACATTTACACTAATTTCTGCAAAGATTTTTTTCAGCTCAATGTTGGACTCAATGGGCCACTATAAGACCGCCTGGATATTTTGCTTTCTGGTCTTTCTATTGAATCATGAATGTACACTATAACTGCTAGTGTAGCATTCTGCTTTGTTTTTCTTGTCTTCTTCTGAATCATTAGAGGTGTTAAACTTAGCCAATGAGCGATCTGAGTTTAGAAGCAAAAGAAACGGATGACGATGGTACTGATGATTTGTTGAGGATGCTTAAAAAAAGGCTTTTTGATAGAAGTAGATGTTTTATCTTCATTCGACTCTAACAAGTGCCAGTTCCATCATAAGGCTAAGTTTATGCTGCTCTATAGATGTCTTTCCCCTATAAGTTCACTATATGGTCCTTGTACCTGCAATATAGGTGGTGACACTGCAGCAATATTCTTCTTTCTTCCCTTGGCTTTTCTAAAATTTCATTATGTAAATATCCTGATTTCATCCAGGTAAAATTGCAAAAGGAAAAAAAAGGACCATTTCTGATACTAGTTATGGTATTCCCTGCAGGCATAAGCTTGACAGCTGAGCAATGGGCAACATTCAACAAGAATATTCCTGCAGTTGAGAAAGCTATCAAGAAAATGGAGTCAAGGTGTTAGTTTATTTCCTCCTTTTTCCGTAACATGCAGTAGTAGATTGTAATATCTAAAGTACTTGAACAGTAGGAGACTTATTTTTTAGCATTACGCCTGCTTTTTTGGGTATATAGATGTTATCTGATTATAAGAAGTAGCTAGATTTTGGAAAGACTAAAGAAATTTTCTTAAATTCCTTTATCTAACTAGTCTGTGCCCATATATTGCCTAACTAAAATTATTTGGCCAAAGGCTAATCAAGACATGCCTAAAATGACCTATACTTGAGACGTGGCTCAATGGTGTTAAGTTGGTCTTGGTCACCTGGCTATTAGTTAGACCATAAGCAAAACATTGTGAACATCTGACACTGTTTACACGAGGTAGCCACTCTAAGGGTTGCTATTTAAGAATTAGCTAGTGCGTTTGGATTTCAGTTTTTCAGTTCAAATTTTTAGGATATAAATATACTTAAATGTCCTGAAATTAAGATTTTAGTTTAAAATTCAAGACACCAGGTAGTCACTCTAAAGGATTGTTATTTAAGAATTAGCCGGTGCATATCGGATATGAGTTTTTCAACTCAATTTTTCAGGTAAAAAATGTACCGAATTGTCCTGAAGTAGGGCTGTTTGTGCACTTGCCCTGAGAATGACTGTCTGTGCACTTGCCCTCAGATATCATTCTCACTAATATCATACAGTTTTAAGCCTGTGGCAGTCTAGTACTCATTGGAGTTTTATCTATCACAATCTTAGCAAAAGCAAAAGAACAAAAATGGAATTAGTAGTAATAGTAGCAGTATTCATTTATGCTTCCAACAAGCTAAAACGAATAGTTTTGAAATTATTGTTTTGGCTGGAACGATCTAATTGTGCTTGTGTGGGACTTGAACATTTTAGCTTGTTATTGTACTAGTAGCGGTATTCATTTTGCTACTAGCCTAGAATGTACAGTAGCATTTCTTATACTGTTCTAGTAGTAATAGTAGCAGTATTCATTTTGCTCACATTCTACTCCTTTTGAGAAATGTTCAAGTCCCACACAAAAGCACAATTAGATCGTTCCAGCCAAAATTTTCTAGCAAAGTCGAGTACAGGAAAAAAGCCAAATCCAAAAGGTAAACTAACAAATTGATAAATTCTAAAACAAACTGGTTTATATAATAAAGAAAATGAAAAACAATATTCATACATAACAGAGTAAAACTTGGGTATATGACATTAATTGCGTGGAAAAAAATATATATTTAGTAAACCAACCTTTCTTATTCCATCTTCATCCTTGTCAAAGGCCCATGACTACTCCTTAATGAAATCTTCAGGGTTGTATATGTACCAAATTGGTGTTGGCCACAGCCACCGCCAGTATTTGGTGTTATTATTGTATCGCCACAACTCTATATGTCTACTATCCAAGTCATAGAAACCAATGTCATAACCTCCTTTACCACCAACCTTATGACCCTCGATATAATCATCCAAGTAGATACAACAACAACAACCCAGTATAATCTCATTTAGTGAGGTCTGGGGAGAGTAGTGTATACGCAGAAGAGGCTGTTTCTAAATAGACCCCCGACATCCTTCCCTCCCAGAACTTCCCACCTTGCTCTTGGGAAGACTCAAACTCACAACCTCTTGGTTGGAAGTGGAGGTTGCTTATCATCAGAGTAAAGTAGATACGGTTTCCTTTATAATATTCACAAGAAGGAAGATAACTAGATGTTATTGAAATTGCGTTTAGTCCCAAAAACAACACATTTTCACCTATATTTTTTTGCTTCACACCAACTTTGACTGCTAGATTCATACATATATAACTTGAAGCGGCTTGTTTGATAATGAAGATCGACACCGGTCCCCGTTATTGTGTTATATGCCAATTCAGAGAGTTAATAGAGTCAAGAAGTTAGTTTGTTAGTATAAGGGTATATTTGTCATTTATTATGAAATGTAATTAGTTGAAAAGGGTTTAGGGGCTAGGGGAGTTGCCGGTTTCTGTCGCACTTTCAGTTAGGAGAGTAACAACAACAACAACCCAGTATAATCCCACTTGGTGAGGTCTGGGGAGGGTAGTCTGTACGCAGACCTTACCCCTACCCTAGGGTAGAGAGACTGTTTCCAAATAGATCCCCGGCATCCTTCCCTCCAAGAACATTCCACCTTGCTCTTGGGGAGACTCGAACTCACAACCTCTCGGTTGGAAGTTGATGCCTATAAAATAGGGAAATCTTGTATCGTTGGGGATTATCAAAAATAATATCATCTCGTTCCTTCTCTATTCTTCTCTTCAGTTTTCTTCTGCAATTCTTGTTCAGGAGCTATTTGCTTTGTGGAGAACGTCAGCTATTAATTGTTGATGTTATCTAATTATAATAGGTAGCTGGATTTCGGAAAGTCTAAAGATTGCTTCTTAAATCCACTTCCTTGACTTTCCATGTATCTTTTACTTCATCTAGCTAGTCTCTTCCCCTAAGGTATTGTTTACCCTAAAATCGGATAACAATTGAATTTATACGCGGTTTAAAGGACACATGATATGATTTGGTATAAATTAAGAAAAATAAATTCGTATTGAAATTGATGATAAAAGAGTAAATGCAAACGACACAAATTGAATAACCTTGGCCCTCGAGTTCAGTCACCCTTGAACCAAAAGATATTTCAATTGAATTATGAACAGAATAACAAGATAATGAAAGCTAGAAAACGACAGTATATTGCTTTGTATTGCGTGAATATGATGTTTTTACAAATGATCAGACTCCCTTTATATAGTAAGGGAGTTCTACTCTTGATACAATTCTATATGAGGTAAAAAATCTCATGATTAGCTAATTAATCGGCCTCTTCTTGATACGTGACAGGATTTCTGCGTGATCCTCGCCCGATTGCGAATATTTCGGCTTTCTGTTATTTGGCTCGGTAAGCTTCCCTCGATCTCTTTCTTACTCGATCTCGATCTTGGTCAATCTCGATCTTGATCGGTCTCTGGGTCACGAGCTCGTCAATCTAACTTTGCACCATGGTTCGATATAACACGAGGTTGAACTTTGGCCTTTCATATTTCGGTCTCGATTAGTCACAAAAGGGCAAGTTCGATTTTGACCGTATATAGATAATACTATATTGCCTAATTAAAATTATTTGGCCCATGGATAATTTACGACTAGGACTAAAATGGCCTATACTTGAGGCGTGGTTCAATGGAGAAGTTGTTTTTCTTCACCTAACTATTAGTAGCCCGTACAAATATTAATCGACGCACTTGACTACCCAACTTATAGCTAGTACGACTATTTATCATTTACTCTATGTCCCACTTTATTTGATGCAGTTATTATTTAGAAAGTCAAATTACTGTCAACCATCTAAATTCACATTGAAATTTTTATAGTTTGACCCCAGTGGCGGATCCAGGATTTTATGTTTGTGGGTGCTTAATTTTTCCTGATGTGTAGTAACTACTTAATTTTTTGGTTGGTAGGTGCTTTCTTTTCCTTTTATATCAGATACCTCAAATTTCTTATATAACTATACCTATGCTGTGTAAAGTTTAATGGGTGCTGAAGCACCTAAATTTAGTACGTAGCTCCGCCCCTGTTTGACCCTCATACTCCGAATCATCGAGCTGGAGGGAGTAACATAAAATTTGCTGCCCGAGGTTCTCCTAATTTTTGCCAAGCAAAAATCTATGACCATATATAAGAATGTCCATGGATTGTAAGAGTTACGATAGCCATTTACGTGTTGTAATAGAGGTGAGGGTTATATACGATGGTAACAGCGTCTCATTATACATAATTTCAAACCATTAATCCTATGGATTAGTAATATTTCTGGTTGATATTGATGAAAGAAAATAAAGTAGGTCATACACAAACTTTGGCATTTTCTATCATGTGGTCTAAATGACACTAAACAGAGTATATTAGTGGGTACGTGCTATGTTCCAAGCCAATAAAATCCAAGTACCATTATAAAGGAATGGCCCTCTTGTGTCTCTGATTACCACATCCCAAATTTAGCAGCCTTTAGTACCCACTCTATCTACCTCTTTGACAATGATACATGAGCTGTATCCATTTTGGGACATGTCTAAAAATTTTAGTCCCTAATTTTGTATTTGTATGAACCGATTTCCTTTTTAATTTGCCCAAAAAGAAGGGCCTCATTTCATATTTGGAAGCAGTTACACTTAAAGGTGTGGCTTAGTGGTCAATAAAGTGGATGAGAATCATGAGGTATCAGGTTCAAATCTCAGCGGAGATAAAAAATACTAGGTGATTTCTTCTCATTTATCAAAACCTTGGTGGATAGAGTTATCTGGTACCTGTTGCTGATGGGAGATGGCAGGTGTTTGAAAGCACTTGCACCCAAGGGTGTGGCTTAGTGGTCAATGAAATGTGTGAGAACCATGAGGTCTCATGCTCAAATTCCGGCGGAGACAAAAAACTCTAGGTGATTTCTTCCCATCTATCCAAACCTTGGTGGATAGAGTTACCTGATACCCGCTGGTGGGAGGTGGCACGTATCCCGTGGAATTAATCTAGGTGCGCACAAGCTGGCCCGAACACCACGATTATATAATAATACTAATAATAAATAAATAAATAAATAAATATATTTGAAAGCAGATTACTTTACAATAGATGTGCCTTATTTTGTGCCACAAATTTAAAAGTTTTCTTTTTTTTTTTAAACTCTGTGCCCAATTAAATAAGTTTACATAAATTAAATAAGGGGAGTGAAATTTGAGAAAGTTGAGTGAGTTATAAACCAACTACTGGTAAATGTTAGTTAACATAGATGATAATCTGAGTGGATTAGTGTTGGAGTCGTTCAATTTGCACAAAACTTGTAAAACTTTTTATATTGTTACTAAATAAAATTTGTAAAACGTTTTATTATATTGTTTCTAAATAAAGCATTATTTCATAATTTAAATCTATATTATTCCCTAAACAAGGATATGGGATAAAACTAAGAAAAATAAGGCACGGCATAAAATGAGATAACGACTTTGGTCTTAAATGAAGTTATGTCCATCCTTTATTTAATTCCATTTTTCTCCTGGTTAAGAAAAACAGATAAAGAATAAAAAGAGAAAAAAAAATTAAAATGCCACGTGTCATCTCAATATCCATACGACCAAAATCTTGGCTAAATCCTCAATTGGTTGTCTCAATACCAATTGGC